TCCCTTGTCAGCCTGGCTCCGAGGCTCAGAAAACGTTCTGCTGTGATTCCAAAAGGCCCCACGTTTTCAAACTTGATGACAGACCCCCAGCTTGCAGAACGGGAGAATCATCATCCCACCTTCTGAAACACAATGAACTGTGCAGCGTTTTTGCAACAAAATAATAGCAAATATCACACAGGCAGCAAGACACTGCTCCCAAACTTCAGCATGTGTCAGCCGCGAAAGCAGAACTACATTCTCAGCCTTCAGCTCGATTCTGACCATCAGCCAGCTCAGCCTGCAGACGAAGAAACACGCTGCCCCTCTAATAACTCAGAGCAGGAGTTTAGACCCAAACAAGCCTGGGTTACGACCCAAATCCAGCAAGCCACGTGGACCATCTCAGTGGGCCCGGGGCTCCTTACTCGCCAGCGGCACTGGCTGCTGCAGCCCACCCGGGTAGGGCAGGTGAGCTGGAGGTGGCAGCCTCTGCTACGGCTCCCATATGGGTGCCCTTTCCAGCCCTGGGATACCCCCAGCCCAGAACACTAGCAAAGTGCAGACAGGGGTCCAGGCTGCCCTGGAGGGAAAGCCAGGGCCAGGGGCAGAGGCTTCTGCCCATAGCAGCTTCCTGGAGTACCTCAACCTCACGTCTTGGACAGCAGCATGGGGACAGATAAAAACATGCTCCCCATGGAGCCAGCGTTGTGGCAAAGCAGGTTAAGCCACTGCCTGTGACACAGTATCTCATACGTGCTCTGGCTGATCTGCTTCTGATCCAGCTCCCTGTTAATGCACCTGGGAAAGCAGCAGAGGACGGCCCAAGTACCCGGCCTCCGCACCCACGTGGGATGAAGATCAGCCTGGCCCAGCCCTGGCCACTGCAGCTATTTGGGGAGTGAACCAGCATATGGAAGAGCTTGCTCTCTGTCTCTCCTTCTCTCTCTCTAACGCTGTCAAATAAATAAAAAAAATTTTTTTTTGACAGGCAGAGTGGATAGTGAGAGACAGACAGAGAGAAAGGTCTTCCCTTTTGCCGTTGGTTCACCCTCCAATGGCCGCCACGGCTGGCGCGCTGCGGCCAGCGCACCGCGCTGATCCGATGGCAGGAGCCAGGTGCTTCTCCTGGTCTCCCTTGGGGTGCAGGGCCCAAGCACCTGGGCCATCCTCCACTGCACTCCCGGGCCACAGCAGAGAGCTGGCCTGGAAGAGGGGCAACCGGGACAGAATCTGGTGCCCCGACCGGGACTAGAACCCGGTGTGCCAGTGCCGCTAGGTGGAGGATTAGCCTACTGAGCCGTGGCACTGGCCAAATAAATATTTTTTTAAAATATATGGGGGCTGGCCGGCGCCATGGCTCACTAGGCTAATCCTCCGCCTTGTGGCGCCGGCACACAGGGTTCTAGTCCTGGTCGGGGTGCTGGATTCTGTCCCGGTTGCCCCTCTTCCAGGCCAGCTCTCTGCCGTGGCCAGGGAGTGCAGTGGAGGATGGCCCAGGTACTTGGGCCCTGCACCCCATGGGAGACCAGGATAAGTACCTGGCTCCTGCCATCGGATCAGCGCGGTGCGCCGGTTGCAGCGCGCCGGCCGCGGCGGCCATTGGAGGGTGAACCAACGGCAAAGGAAGACCTTTCTCTCTGTCTCTCTCTCTCACTGTCCACTCTGCCTGTCAAAAAAAATAAAAATAAAATAAAAAAATAAAAAATAAAATATATGGGGGCTGGCGCTGTGGCGCAGTGGGTAAAGTTGCTGCCTGCAGTGCCGGCATTCCGTATGGGCGCTGGTTCAGTCCCAGTTGCTCTACTTCCGATCCAGCTCTCTGCTGTGGCCTGGGAAAGCAGTACAAAATGGCCCAAGTGCTTGGGCCCCTGCACCAGTGAGGGAGACCTGGAAGAAGCTCCTGGCTCCGGATCAGCACAGTTCCGGCCACTGCGGCCAATTAGGGAGTGAACCAGCGGATGGAAGATCTCTCTCTCTCTCTCTCTGCCTCTTCTCTCTGTGTAACTCTGACTTCCAAATAAACAAATAATAAAATATATGCACCCCATGTGTTTAATATGGTCATGAAAAACCCTATTACAGTCAGTTTACAGTTTCTGCAAAGAAGTCATTGGCAGGAATAAAATGCCAAGACTGGGGACAGGGGGGCTAGTGCTATGGTGTAGCAGATAAAGCTGTCGCCTACAGTGCCGACATCCCATATGGGTGCTGGTTCATGTCCCGGTTGCTCCACTTCCCATCCAGCTCTCTGCTGTGGCCTAGGAAAGCAGAAGATGGCCCAAGTGCTTGGGCCCCTGCACCCACATCGGAGACCTGGAAGAAGCTCCTGGCTTAGGATAGGCACAATTCTGTCCGTTGCAGCCATTTGGGGAGTGAACCAGCAGATGGAAGACCTCTCTCTCTCTCTCTCTCTCTCTCTCTGCCTCTCTGTAACTCTGCCTTTCAAAGAAATAAATTGTAAAAAAAAAAAAAAAAAAAAAAAAAAAAAAAAAGCCTGGGGAATAAGCAAAACTCTCCTGCTTGTAGGGATCAAAGAATTCACGTCCCCACACACACCCTGCACCCTAAAAGGGGCCCTTCGGTTGGGGGTCAGCACCTAGAATCCTCTCAGCTTGGCGTGCACCTCCCTCTGCTAATGTCCACGACCCACGGCAGTCCTGGTCACCACTGTGAACTGAGGAGACAGCTGCACGTCACACCTCATCCTGACCCCACAGCTGCACACACAACTGCTCGGTCACTGGTGACACGTCTCAGAAAGGGCCCCACCTGACCTGAGAGGAGACAGCCGACTGCCCCCCGATGCCCCTCACCCCCTGGGGCCGCCCCACACCCCTAGACACGCATGGGCCCTAGTGACTCACTTCCACGGGGGAAGTCACTCTAAAGCCAAGCTGTCTTTTCGTTCCCTGGCTTTGTGGCTGTCAGCCTGCAGGGAGGGACAGCCCCGGGGGCCGGCCAAAGGGTCCAGCTGAGCCACACCTGGATTCCTGACCCACAGGACTTACAGAGAGTAAGCGATTTGTTGCACAAATAATACAAGACCACAGGACCACTCCTGTAAAATCCAGAAACAAGAACCTCAACAGCCCAGCCAAACCTGAGTGCTCTGTTTTGCAAGCCTTTTCCAAAATTTCACAAAGCAAAGTAAGTTTTAAAACAGTAGCGCCCAAGGCCAAAGCACCATGGCAGCGTAAGGGTCCCCGGGTGTGGCCAGCACGGCCTCTGAGCTGGACCAGGAACCCTCACGCTGGAATCCAACCGATGAGCAGACAACGAAATCCGCCACCGACTCGGGCGTCCCACGGGAGCCCCCCCCCCCGCGGATCTTTCCAGGTGTGTGCGACCTGCGTTCACCTCACCATTCACTCCCCCAAAACCTGCAGAGGGTCCACGCCGGGCAGCCTGCCCGGACCCCCAGCTCACAGCACCAGCCGGCTCTCACCCGTGCGGCACGGGAGTCATCCAGCTTCAGCATCACCGACAAAAGGCGATTCGGGGTCCCGGGGCAAGTCTCTCCCCAAGACCCCTCAGAGCGGAGCCCTAGTGTGGCCCACTGCCTCGCCTGCCCTGACTGTCCTGTCCAGGGCTGGGCTGCCCTCCACCCCGACACATCCAGGCACCTTCTCCTGGCTCGGATCCCCCCCTCTGCCTGCTCCTGGGCCCTGGACACCACCCTAGACTTAGGATGGGGGTGCACACAAGACTCTGAGCAGGAAGAGGAGCAGCAGTGGCCAAAGGTGCGGACTCTGACCACAGGGCCAAGGCCAGGAGAGGACAGCAGCCCGCAGTGGCAGCAGGCAGCTTCCTGGGCCCGGGCAGTGGACCAGTGCACACCAGGGGTGCACGGCCAGCATGCAATGGCAACCCCAGCTGAGACAGTGCCTTTGAAGATGGTGGGGTACAGGGACCTTGTGCCAAGAGGGACACAAGTGACCAGGACCCCAGTGCCCGAGCCCTCAGCTGGCGGGCAGAGCCCAGCGGCCCCACAGTCCCATCTGGGGACTGCGTGGCCTCAGTGGCTTGCCCTGGAGCCCAGCTCCTGGTCCAGCTCCCATCCGGATCCTGCTGGAGAGGGCGGCCCTCACACCCAGCCAGCACCTGACCCAAGTGGCCACTCTGGGGTGCTCGCCATCCAGGAGGCAGATCCAGTCCCGAGCGCTCCTCAGGGTGGCTCCGGGTTCCAGGCCCCCAGGGCTCTCCAGGTCCTCCGTGGGGCCAGTCTTGCTGTCTGAGTCCTCGTCAGGGGACTTGTCCCATGGGCCTGTCCTAGGGTGCTGGCCCTCCTCAGTGACCTGCTGCAGCCTGTACCCTCCTGGGGTCCCAGCGTTCTGGCGCTGCCCAGTGTCCAGATCTTCTCCTGGACCTGTCCCAGGGCTGGCCCCTCCTGGCTGACCTGGCCTCAGGGGCCGGTTCTCTGTGGACTCCCGTCTCAGGCACAGCCCTCTTGGTGACTGGTCCTTCCTGGGCCCGAGCCCTGCCCGGGGTCCCAGCCCTCCCAGCTCCAGCCCTGCCCAGGGTCCCGGCCGCCTCGGCTCCTGCCCTGCCCGAGGTCCCGGCCCTCCCAGCTCCTGCCCTGCCCAGGGTCCCGGCCGCCCAGGCTCCTGCCCTGCCCGAGGTCCCGGCCCTCCCCGACTCCTGCCCTGCCGGGGGTCCCAGCCCTGCCCGAGGTCCCGGCCCTCCCAGCTCCTGCCCTGCCCGGGGTCCCGGCCCTCCCCGGCTCCTGCCCTGCCAGGGGTCCCAGCCCTGACCGAGGTACCAGCCCTCCCAGCTCCTGCCCTGCCCGGGGTCTCAGTTCTGCCCGAGGTCCCGGCCCTCCCCGGCTCCTGCCCTGCCCAGGGTCCCGGCCCTCCCAGCTCCTGCCCTGCCCGGGGTCCCGGCCCTCCCGAGCCATGCCGGGGCTCTGGGAACAGGCGAGGGGGCGTCCGGGGCGCGGAGCCTGCGGGCCAGACTCCAGCCGAGGCCGCGGCCTGGGGAGCGGGCGCCGCGGGCCTGGCCGGACGGGCGGACTCACTGACCTGCAGGTTCGGGCGGGGGCGAGCGGGGCGCACGCGGGGCCTCGCCGGAAGGGGGAGGGGGCGCCGCTCCTCAGGGTCCCCCCCAAGAGGAGGAGAAAAAAACCCGTCCGGAGTTTAAAACAAAGAGGCGGAAATGCCCGAGCCCAGCCGAGCGCCGAGTCGGGGGCGCCGCGTTCCGAGCATGCGCGGAGTGCGGCGCGGCTCCCACCCGCGGCCTGGACGGGGGCGGAGTTTCTCGGGGGCGGGACTCAGGGCGGGGCCGGGGCGTGGTGAGAGGGCGCAGGCGCGTGCGAGGCCGAGGGGCGGGGCCGGGCGCTGTCCGGGGCCACAGGCGGGGCGGGGCTCCGCCGCCCCGGCTTTTCCGGTTGCGGCCCCGCCCTGCCCGAGGGCCGGCTCGGACCCCCAGCCCGCCTTCCGGGGCCTGCAGCGTGGCCCGGCCCCTAGCCCCTGGGCCCCAGCCCTGCCTCCCACGCAAGAAAAGAATGCGTGGGGGGCGCAGGAAGGGTCAGCAGAGCTTCGAGACTCACTGCCCCTCATGGTGGACGCGGGGGTGCCACCGCAGGAGCCTGGGGCGGGGCGGGGCTTAAGTGCCACCCTCTGTTTTTTGGGGACCTCAGCGCTGTCGTGGTGTCAGATGCGTGAGGGGAACAGCCGTGCCAGCCGCAGCCATCTTAGCATGAGCTAAGGTCGTCGTGGGGAAGCAGCCGTCCTGGGTGCCTACAGCGGGGAGGCTCACTGGGGGGCTGCCCAAAGCCGAGCCCACCGAGCCACCTAGCACAGTAGGCCAGTGGTCGCGGGAGCCATCCCAGCTGCTGGTGAGCACACCCAGGGCCTTCCTGCCGCTCGGCTGCAGACTGATCCTTGTGCCACACCTGCAACGTCACCGGAAACCGGTGGGGCGGGAGGCTGCCTTGTCCCTGGCAACGCAGGCCACCGGGAGTGGGATGCACCCACTCCCACGGTGACACAGGAGCCGCTCAGGAGCTGTGTGTTCCTGCTGTGACACCCAGAGTCACCCAGGCCCCCACAGCGTGTTGAGGGGGCGCTGTAGGGCCCCCAAGGACTGAGCCCTGTGACAGGTGGGCAGGACGGGACCATGTGCGGGTCAGGCGACCTCCACGGCTTTGGTGGGGAAGTGCTGTGTGCTCCGGGTGTCCCGGCAGCTCTGCTGGCCTGCGAGCACGCCGGCACCAGGTGGAGGCGAGGGGTGGCAGGAGGTGTGAGAACCAGGGCCCGGGGCCAGGCAGCCCTGGACACCAGATCCCATGCGGGCACAGTCAGCCCCGGCTGCTCCAGCTCCCTGCTGAGGCACCTGGGAAAGAAGCAGACGACAGCCCGAGTCCCCGGGCCCCTGCACCCACCTGGGAGACCAGTCAGCCCTGGCCATTGTGGCCATCTGGGGAGTGAGCCAGCAGTGGAAGGTCTCTTGCTCCTATGGAGGGCAGGGACTTGGCGTGAGCACTGGGAGGGAATCGCAGGTGTCTGTGAAGAGAGCCAGCTGGAGGTCCCCAGGTGAAGGCCCCGTGGGTGCCAGTCTCTCCGTCCTCTGGCTTATGCAGTGGCCGAACGGTGCTGTGAGGAGGTCCTTGGGCAGGACAGTTTCCCAGGGCTGCCTGGGTCTCTTCCTGACCTCGGCAGCCAGGAGCTGGAGCCCAGCACCCCAGCGGCGTCCTGCAGGGCCCCCTTGTGGATGCATCTGGACCTGCACCCCAGGGCTCATCCTCCCCGGGTGTCAGGGACGACCTGAGGCTCAGAGCTGGTGTTTCAGCAGGGGGGGCAGCCAGCCCAGCCAGTGGTGGCCCGGCGTCGCTGTCACCATGGCCCAGCGCTCAGGTCCAGCCAGTGGCGGCCCGGCGTCGCTGTCACCATGGCCCAGCGCTCAGGCCCAGCCAGTGGCGGCCCGGCGTCGCTGTCACCATGGCCCAGCGCTCAGGCCCAGCCAGTGGCGGCCCGGCGTCGCTGTCACCATGGCCCAGCGCTCAGGCCCAGCCAGTGGCGGCCCGGCGTCGCTGTCACCATGGCCCTGAAAGCTGTCAAAGGTGGGGGGGGGAGTCCCTGTCAGAGAATACGGAGAAGCTTCAGCTGGTCTTAGAGCCCCCAGGTCTGCACCCCAACCCCTTGGGGTGTGCATGGCAGTGGTTATGGGAGGTGACAGCACCACAAGAATCGGCAGAGAAAGCAGGGCTGCGGGGTTGTGTGGGGTTGGAGCCAGAAGTGCCAGGTTGGCTCCATGTCCAGGTGCCAAGCCAGCTCCGCAGGAACCAGACACCTCACTGGTGAGGGAAACAGAACACGCGGTTGACACTCTGCGCAAAGGAGTGACAAGGCCGGAGGCGTGGAAGGGGTGGGGAGGGGCTCAGGCAGTGTGGAGCGTCCATAGCCAGAGGCGATGGACATGGAGACCTTCCCACAACCATGGCCTGGGAGAGTGTTCCAGCCACTCTGTGTTCTCTAAAGATTTATTTACTTATTTGAAAGGCAGAGTGACAAGGATCTGTCCTCTGGTTCACTCCCCAAATGCCCACAACTGTTGGGGCTGGGCCAAGCCAAAGCCAGGAGCCTGGAACGCCACCTGGGTCTCCCACGTGAGTGGCAGGGGCCCAGCATGTGCTCCTGGGAGAGCAGCAGAGGATGGCCCAAGTCCTTGGGCCCCTGCACCCATGTGGGAGACCAGAGGAAGCTCCTGGCTCCTGGCTCCTGGCTCCTGGCTTTGGCTTGGCCCAGCCCTGGTCATTGTGGCCAGTGTGGGAGTGAACCAGCGGATGGAAAACCTCTCTCTCTCTCTGCTCTCCCTGTCCTTCTCTCTCTGTAGCTGTGTCTTTAAAATAAATTTTTAAAAATCTTTCAAAAGAATTAGAGGTGAGGCATCGGGAAGGGTGGGCAGAGAAGTGAGATCTGGCTCCCGGCAAGCTGAAGGTGCACTCCCGGCACAGAACTGCACCCGGCCGGGCTCTGGTCCTCCCGTACTGGAGGCAGGAGTGGGGGTGGGGCAGGCTTGAGGGCCAGCACTCCCTTGCCCTCGTGGGCAGTCTTTGACTTGTGTCTCCGTGGTCGTTTCGTTGTCATGACGTTAGCAGGTCGCTGCGGCTCGGGACACAGCTGGCAGCCGTGTGAGTTACTTTTAGCAGAGAAGCTGTGGAAGCTGCAGTTTTTCACTGCGTGAAAGTTGGGGGGGGCATGGATGTGAGATGACGGCTCCCCCGGCTCAGCGCTGCCTCCCTGCCAACAGCCAGGGCCCCCTCAGGATCTGGCCGCGTCTCGTCCGTGCACCTGCTCCAGCTCCCTGGCTTAGCAAAGGCCTCCCCTCTCCTTGTTTCTTTCCTGGGCCCACAGACCTATTTTCAACACGGAATTGTGATTCCTGCAAAAGGGCCAGGCCATGTCCTCTGCTTGCAGTGTTCCAGCAGCTTCCTTCAGAGCAGGAACCTGTGGGTGGGGGTCCCAGGGAGCTGGAGAGACCATGGGTCCAGACTCACCCAGCTGCAGCGGCCTGGGACTGCAGGATGACAGAGTGGGAGCCCCTGCCACGGGCAGGTGAGCTGTCCTCACTGCTACCCTGGACCCCCGTCTCTGGGGCGCTGGCCCTGCCTGATAGTTCGTTCCCGCCACTCATTCATGGTGACACTGCCCATCTTCACCTGGGACACCAAGGAGTGACCCCTCCAACCTGCCAGGCTTCTGCTCCCTGGCCCGGGTCCCCGGGGACTGGATGGGGCTAAGTCCAGTGGCCACTGCCCACCCCATACCCTGCCTGCAGCACCTGTGGGTCTCAGCAGCAAGTCACATGACAATCAGGGGACCACACGGACAACATACGAAGTAAAGGGTTCAGGGCCAGAGCTGTGACCAGCAAGGTAAGCTGCCGTCTGCAGTGCTGGCACCCCGTATGGGCACCTGTTCCAGTCCTGGCCGTGCCACTTCGGATCCAGCTCCCCGCTGATGCACTGGGAAAGCAGCAGCAGATGGCACAAGTCCTTGGGCCCCTGCACCCACGCGGGAGACCCGGATGAAGCTCTTTGTTCCTGGCACTGAATTGGCCCAGCTCTGACCTTTGCAGCCATTAGGGGACGTGAACTAGCGGTGGAAGACCTCTCTCTGCATTTCCCTCTCTGTAACTCTGCCTTTCAAACGAATAAATAAATCTTTAAAAAAACGCAGTTGAGAGGTACACGAAGCTTCAGAGAGCAGAGTCACCCACGGTGACGATTACACATGAAAAGTGACAGAGATAGAGACACGGGTCCACGTGCTGGAGAAACGCACAGACATCAGCCCAGCGGGGCCTCCGGGAGACACCTGCAGGCGCGGGAGGCAGCCACCTAGGGTAACCTCCCGGGTGGGCCCAGCCTGGGGCCTGCGGGGTCTGGCCACGCCGGGAGGAACTTCACCGACTGCGGGCACAGCAAGCTACTGTCCCGCGGGAGAAGCGGCGAGAAGACCTGGAGCCCCCCCACACCCCCAAAGCCCCCGTCTGAGCGCAGACTGCGTGCTCTGTGCCGCGCCACCTGCGTCCTCGGAGCCGGCGGCCCTGCCCGGTCAGGCTGACCGCGCGCCCACCGCCCACTGCGGCCCGTCTGAATCCTCTGCTGGCCGGAAGGCGCGAGAGGACTCGGACTGCGGCTCTCAGCGAGTGGGCGCGGGGCTGCTCCCCGCACACGGGCCCCACTTTCTACTTTGTACTAAGGACGGGACCGCACACAAGCAATCCAGCACCCAGGTGAGTGCCGGGCTGAACGGTCAGGACAAGGAAGCGCCAGGGTCGCGCCGGAGAGGGCGCCTTGGCTTCGGGGGTCCTGCCCCCGCCTCGCGCACACTCGGGGCCCCCGCGCCAGCCGGATCCTGCCGCCGAGCCCGGCCCCTCCTCAGCCGCCCACGCCGAGGGCTTTCCCCGCCCCGCCCGCGGGCCAGGGGCCGGACGCACCGGTCGTGCAGCCGCCCCGCCCCGCCGGCCGGGTAGGAGGGGTCCGAGGGCTCCCGGAGCCCCGCCCCAGGCCCGGGCCCACGCACCGAGACTAGCTGAGGCCGCCGTGGGCGCGGGGCGGGCGTGCGGCGATGGCTGGGCCGGCGAGGACCGGGGAAGCGGGCGGCGACCGCGGGGCCGAGGCCGCGCCGCGGGGCTTCCACGCGCCCACCCCACGCCGCTGGCTCTTCCTGGGCGCGCTCAGCCTGCTCAGCGGCTCCAACGCCACGGTAGGGCGCCGTGGGGTGCGTGCGGCTGCTTCGGGCGCTGCTGTGCTTCCGGGACGCTGGGCAGCCGGCGCCTGTGTCCAGCCCGGCCCGCGCAGGCGGACTCGCGGGCACGGCCTGGGGCCTGTCTCCATCCCTGCTGGCTGGGCTGGAGGCTGCCGCCGCGGGGCTGGGCTGCGCGGTCCCCTGGCGCAGGCGCGGGCAGAGCGGGTGTCGGCCTGGGAGCTGTGCCCACCTAACCCTAACCCTAACCCTAACCCTAACCCTAAACCTAACCCTAACCCTCTGGACACGCCGATGCTGCCAGCTGTCTGGAGGGGACGAGAATCTCACCGTGACCCCTGGTGGCCCTGAGCCCTGGGTCACTCGCCCCAGGCTGCATCTGGTGGACAGCAGAGAAGGCTGGGGCGGGTACGGGGCTGCAGCAGATCTGTCCATCCAGGGAGCTGCAGCTCTGGGAAGGAGCCCCAGGAGCCACGGCCCTTCTGTGCTGGGGGAAGCCGGGAGGAGGCCGGGCTCTGAGCCTGGTCCTGAAGGAGGAAGAGGAGTCCTGGGAGGGTGTGGCCCCTTCCTGGGAGATGGACTCCTCTGAACTTGGATTGGCACCTGCCCAGGAGATGACTCACCTGAACTTGGATGGGCAGCACACCCACAACGCTCCCGTAGCCTGGGGGCCCTCTGCAGAGGCGGTACACCTGTAGTTTGCTGAATGCCTGGGACGTGAGGATGCCTACGGCTGGGGAAGGTGCCGGGGATGCTGCCACCTGCCCGCCGCCCACTCAGAGGGCGACAGCTGCATGTGGGCGAGGCCTGACCCCACTCCAGCAGCCCTCCCTGAGGGGTCACAGGTGCGGGGCAGCCTCACGGGGACCCCGGGTCCAGACCACACCTACAGTCTCATGGGACCCCAGGTCCAGGCCACACCAAGCCTCACGGGGACCCTGGGTCCACACCACAGCCTCACAGGGACCCTGGTCCAGGCTGTGCTGTGCACCCACAGTCTCCCGGGACCCCAGGTCCAGGCCACACTGTGCGCACATGATCCTGCACACCTGCTGACCCCACACTCCCTGGCTGGCTGGCCAAGCAGGGGCAGCAGGTGGCTGGGACAGGGCTGGGTGGGCGGTGACTCCCTTCCGCCCCACCTCCTGCAGCTGTGGCTCAGCTTTGCACCCGTGGCGGACACCATCGCCGCGCACTTCCTCCTGACCGTGGAGCAGATCAACTGGCTCTCAATGGTCTTCCTTGTGGTGTCCATCCCGGCCAGCGTGGCAGCCATCTGGGTTCTGGACTCTGTCGGGCTCCGTGAGGCGGTGAGTTGGCCCCCGCCACAGCCTGCGTGGCACAGGCCAGGTCCCCAGCACATGGGTGCCAGAGCCATGGTGCAGTCGGACCTGTGGGCAGCAGGGCAGGCAGTGGGGCAGTTGGAGGCACCTGGTGGGCTGGGCAGCTGTGCAGGTTGTGGGGGAGGGGAGGCACCGGGTGGGCTGGGCAGCAGGGCAGGCAGTGGGGCAGTTGGAGGTACCCTGGTGGGCTGGGCAGCTGTGCAGGTTGTGGGGGAGGGTGGAGTGTTGGGCACCGAGTGGGCTGGGCAGCTGTGCTGGTTGTGGGGGAGGGGAGGCACCCGGTGGGCTGGGCAGCAGGGCAGGCAGTGGGGCAGTTGGAGGTAGGGATACCCTGGTGGGCTGGGCAGCTGTGCAGGTTGTGGGGGAGGGTGGAGTGTTGGGCACCTGGTGGGCTGGGCAGCTGTGCTGGTTGTGGGGGAGGGTGGAGTGTTGGGCACCTGGTGGGCTGGGCAGCTGTGCAGGTTGTGGGGGAGGGAAGGCACCCGGTGGGCTGGGCAGCAGGGCAGGCAGTGGGGCAGTTGGAGGTAGGGATACCCTGGTGGGCTGGGCAGCTGTGCAGGTTGTGGGGGAGGGGAGAGCGTAGCCCAGTGGCATCTTCCTGGCCCGCTGCAGACTATCCTGGGTGCGTGGCTGAACTTTGCTGGGAGTGGGCTTCGGGCCTTGCCCTGCGTGGCCGTCGGGATCCCCCGCCCGTTTGCCTTCCTCATGGCGGGGCAGAGCCTCTGTGCCCTGGCCCAGACCCTGGTCATCTTCTCTCCGGCCAAGCTGGCCGCCTTGTGGTTTCCAGAGCGGCAGAGAGCCACAGCCAACATGATCGCCACCATGTGTGAGTGCCCGGCCCAGGGCCTGCCTCCTGGGCTCAGCTCCAGGCTCTGCTGTGGCGTCCTCTCTCCCGAGGTTTTCCCCGTGTCTGGGCCAAGGCCTGACCGCAGCTGGGCTGATGGCTTCTTTGTCCCTGTGCCCACAGCAAACCCCCTGGGCATCCTTGTGGCCAATGTGCTGTCGCCTGCTCTGGTCAAGAAGGGGGAGGACATCCCTTTGATGGTGAGGCACTCATGGGTGTCCCTGTGTGGTGTGCACGTGTGTGTCTGTGTGTGTTTGGTGTGCTCATGTGTTTCTGTGCTATGTTGTCTACACACCTGTGCTGTATGTCTCTGTGTGCATGTGTGGGTACCCCTGTGTGCCATGCCTGTCTGGGGACACAACATGGGTGCTTGTGAGGCCTGCTTCTCTTGGGGGTGTGCTGGTGGCCATTGGGTGGGTGAGCTGAGCCCAGGGAGGCTCTGCCTGGAATCCCCCAGGGCAGGGGAGGGTGGAACAGGGCAGGCTGGGGTTGGGGGGAGACAGGAAGGGGCAGGGGCAGGGGCAGGAAGATGTGGGGCGCCCAGAGCAGAGTGAACGTGTGCATAGCTGTATCCTCCAGGCCACCCGGTAACCATACACTCTCCCGCAGCTCGGCATTTACATGGTCCCTGCTGGCCTCGCCTGCCTGCTGGCCACTACCTGCCTCTGGGGGACTGTGCCCCCCTCCCTGCCCTCTGCCGGGGCTGCCAGCCCCACCTCAGGGACGTTCCTGGATGGACTGAAGCTGGTGGGTGCAGGGGATTCCGGGGCGGGGCGGGCGGGGGCAGGTCCAGGGCCCTGGCTGAAGGCCCCGCCCTGCAGCTCGCCTGGAACAGGGCCTACATCGTCCTGGCTGTGTGCTACGGGGGCGGCGTGGGCATCTTCTCCAGCTTCCTGGCCCTCCTGGAGCAGATCCTCTGCGTGCACGGCTACTCCAGCGTGAGCGTGGGGCAATCCCGGGGAGTCGCTCGGCAGAGGCAGCAGACGCCTTGCCCCCCGCGTGGATGCTGGGTGCCGGGTGCACAGGCCGTCCCTTCCGCGCTGCTCTGAGCCCCAGCGTCCTGCCTGGGCCTCATGGCCTCCCCCCCCTCCAGGAGTTTTCTGGCCTCTGTGGGGCCCTCTTCATCCTGTCTGGGACCCTGGGGGCCCTGGTCCTCAGCCTGTATGTGGATCGGACCAAGCGTTTCACTGAGGCCATCAAGGTGGGCTTCTGCCTGACCTCCATGGCCTGCGTGGCCTTCGTGCTGGTGAGAGCCCCTCTCGCCCTGCAGGGCCCCTGGGTGGCAGCTGGGCCAGTGCTGCTTCAGGGTGGGCAGTGTATCCGACTACAGCCTCCGTGCCCTGCCCCCTCTCCCCAGGTGTCCCGGCTGCAGGGACAGCGCCTGGCACTGGCCACCGTCTGTTCCCTGTTTGGGCTCTTTGGCTTTGCAGTGGCGCCAGTGGCCACGGAGCTGGCGGTTGAGTGCTCCTACCCTGTGGGCGAGGGTGCTGCCGCGGGCCTGGCCTTCATACTGGGGTGAGTGCCCCAGCCACTCCCTGCCCTCCCTGGGCTGAGTGCCCCAGGCCCCTGGCCAGGGCTGTGTGCAGGCCTGAACCAGCAGGGGGAGAGGATGCAGCCCCCTCCCCAGGGGCGTCCCTGGTGGGGGCTGAGGCTATGTGTGTCCAGGCAGGCAGAGGGTGTGCTCTTCATGGTGCTGATGTCGGCACTGGCTGTGCGGCGCCCACAGTCCTCCTCATCCACCTGCCGGCTTGGCGAGGACCCGCTGGACTGGACAGGTGTGTGTCCCGAGCCTGGGGAATGGAGGCCAGGGGATCTGGAGCCCGGGGGGCCGCGCACCCTGTCGGCTCTCCACGGGGTGGGCTGGGCAGTTCAGGCATGGTGAGTGTAGCCAGAGACCCTGCTCAAAACCGGCCTTGAAATCTCTGGTGTGCATCATAGAATCAAGGAAACAGGAGAGACAGAGACTCCAAGGTGGAGATCTGAGAAGAAAAAAGAGGCAGACACAGAGAGAGAGAGACAGAGAGACCCAGAGACCTAGAGGAAGAGACTGGCACACAGCAAGGGAGAGACCCAGACCCGGAGGCCCAGCAGTGGGAAGGGCTGTGGGGAACCCTGGTCTTTGCTCCCCTGGGACTGGGAACGGCACTGTGTCCTTGGGGTCACTGTAGTCATGGACAGCCTGAGCTGTGGCTGAGGGGGCTTGGGCTGCTTTGGGCGGACTCTGGGGACAGCGGCACCTGTGTCCCCAGTGTCCCTACTGCTGATGGCTGGCATGTGCACCCTCTTCACCTGCATCCTGGTGCTCTTCTTCCACACCCCGTACCGGCGCTTGCAGGCTGAGTCCGACATGTCCACCTTCGCCCAGGACACGTCAGCAGCACAGGACCGGGCACCAGCTCTGGAACCATCCCCTGAGGCTCCGGCACCGTTGGTCCTGGAGTCGGGGGCCCAGGATACTTGGACGGCAGCCCAGGCCGGCTCAGAAAGGGCAGCGGGAGAGGCAGGCGGGGGCCAACATGGCTGTGCCTGCCACGGCTCAGAGCCAGCCACGGCACACCTGGGTCTGGCCAGATCAGACCCAGGGTGGCTGGTGCAGGTGCCGGCTGGGGGAGAAGGCTGTTGGGGGTTGAGCGCGGGGCAGAGTCCGGCCTGAACGGTGTGTGGAGGCCCTCGCTGGAAGGATCCCATGCGAGTGACCAGAGCCTCAGGCTGGAGCCCCGAGGGTGGGGCATTGTGGTCAGCCTGGGGTCCGTGCTGGTTGAACTGGCTGGCAGGCTCCTCCTCCCGAGGCCAAGCATGTAGCGCAGCACCTCGTAGCCCAGCTTGCGGCCGTGTGCACGGAGGTGAGTGCAGCATCTTGTCCACCGAGGGGCGGGAGTAAATCCCAGACACTGAAGCCGGCCTGGGTTCATTCCTGCACAGGGGCGTGGCGGTGGGGGGTCGACAGTGCTGCACAGACAGCTCAGGCTGTGTGCCTGAGCCCAGCCCCTGGTCCATCCCCGTGGCTGAGCCGGTCAGCAGGGGCCAGAGTCCAGCCCTCTGGGCCCTGGGGAGGCAGCAGTGTCGGGTGTGGGAGAGGTGGGGCCCCAGGAAGTGGGCGTGCTGGGTGCCGAGCCATGGGCGAGGCTCTGAGGGTGGCAATCCTGTGGCCCTGGCCACTCAGTGGCCTCCAGCCCCAACCAAATCCCTTGCAGCCAGTGCCTCCCCTCAGGCACGTGCCCAGGGCTGCTCTGTGGTCATCTTGTCAGCCTGGGATACCAGCAGGTGCTTGATGCTGCAGGCAGGAGGGGCGCCCAGTAGGGTGCTCTGGGCAGACCTGTGGGTGCTCTTCCTGCACCCTCACCCTCCACAGGCCCCCCCTCCCCCCAGGAGCCCAGCACTCAGTTCTCGTTGATGCTGCCTGCCCAGAAGGCACTTCGGGACTCCTTTCCAGCTCCAGGGCAGGGCCAGGGCTCAGCAGCAGCCCCAAAGGTGCTGCTCGTTCCTCCTGGGGGTGACCGCTGTCTGGACCCCCAGCTGGCCAGCCCAGGGTGTGGGCAGGGAGCTGGCATCCCAGCCCACGGCTTCTCCAGTTGGGAAACGGGCATGTCGAGAACCACAACACCCAGGGCTGCTGAGGAGGGGCCATGCCCCCGGCACCCGCCCCTCAGCTTCTCCCCAGACAGGTCTCGGAACACGGTGAGGTGGATGGGCCCGGCCTCCCCGAGCATGGCGTCCAGCTTGTCCTCCTTGGCCTCGGGGTTACCTTGTGCAGACTGGGGCAGGGTCTCACACACCACCCCCGGTTAGGCAGTGGGGTCGCTGGGCAGGGTCTCATCCCCCCCACCCGGTGAGGCAGTGGGGTCACTGGGGCAGGGTCTCACCCCCCCACCCGGTGAGGCAGTGGGGTCGCTGGGGCAGGGTCTCACACCACCTCCGGTTAGGCAGTGGGGTCGCTGGGGCAGGGTCTCACCCCCCCACCCAGTTAGGCAGTGGGGTCGCTGGGGCAGGGTCTCACACCCGCCCCCGTTAGGCAGTGGGGTCGCTGGGGCAGGGTCTCACACCCCCCCCCGGTTAGGCAGTGGGGTCGCTGGGGCAGGGTCTCACCCCCCCCACCCGGTTAGGCAGTGGGGTCGCTGGGGCAGGGTCTCACCACCCCCTCCCCGGTTAGGCAGTGGGGTCGCTGGGGCAGGGTCTCACCCCCCCCTCCCCGGTTAGGCAGTGGGGTCGCTGGGGCAGGGTCTCACCCCCCCACCCGGTGAGGCAGTGGGGTCGCTGGGGCAGGGTCTCACCCCCCCCACCCGGTTAGGCAGTGGGGTCGCTGGGGCAGGGTCTCACCACCCCCCCACCCGGTTAGGCAGTGGGGTCACTGGGGCAGGGTCTCACCCCCCCCTCCCCGGTTAGGCAGTGGGGTCGCTGGGGCAGGGTCTCACCCCCCCACCCGGTTAGGCAGTGGGGTCGCTGGGGCAGGGTCTCACCCCCCCTCCCCGGTGAGGCAGTGGGGTCGCTGGGGCAGGGTCTCACCCCCCCCACCCGGTTAGGCAGTGGGGTCGCTGGGGCAGGGTCTCACACACCCCCTCCCCGGTTAGGCAGTGGGGTCACTGGGGCAGGGTCTCACCCCCCCACCCGGTTAGGCAGTGGGGTCGCTGGGGCAGGGTCTCACCACCCCCCCCACCCGGTTAGGCAGTGGGGTCGCTGGGGCAGGGTCTCACCCGCCCCCCGGTTAGGCAATGGGGTCGCTGGGGCAGGGTCTCACACCCACCCGGCCTTGTTGGGTGTCTGCTGTTTCCACGGGCAGGGGGTTCTCCAGGAAGACCCCACAGTGCTGCGTGGCACTCAGCCTAGGTGAGGCAGCGAGTGAGGAGGACAGAGCCTGAGAATGGCTGGTCACCTGCGGCACCCCCACTTTGGAACTAGATGCTGCCCCAGCTCTCGGAGCAGAAGCCCCTGCCTTGGGCCAGGCCAGGAGCAGAGCCGCCCACGGTGGGCTGTCGCAGCAGGAAGCCCTGTGCTGGCTGCATTTGCTCGGAAAGGGCAGGGAGAGCAGGGCCCGGCCTGAGGGACAGGCCCCCCGCGCCCTCCCCTCCCACCTTCCAGGCCACCAATGCCAGGGCCTGCTGTGGTGTAGTGGGTACAGTGCAGCCTGTGACGTGACGCTGGCATCCCATGTGGGCACCGGTTCAAGTCCCAGCTGTTCCTCTTCTGATCCAGCTCTTGGCTGTGGCCTGGGAAAGCAGTGAAAGATGGCCCAAGTCCTTGGGCCCCTGCACCCTCGTGGGAGACCTGGAGGAAGCTCCTGGCTTCCAACTGGCCCGGCTCTGGCCGTTGCAGCCATCTGGGGAGTAAACCCGTGGATGGAAGCTCGATCTCTGCCTTTCAGACTGGCTAAGGCCGCCCACAGAGGTGCCAGCTCCCTCCTGAAGCCCCCCAGAGCCTATACCAGGTCTCTGTTTGGCAGCATCACCTACCCCATCCCTCCTGGGACACCCTCTGCCCGATCGGAACAGCCACAGTGGGGCAGGGGCCCCCCGGCTCAGCTGGGGAGGGGCCCGGCTGTGCCGCACTCTGCTCGGGACTCACCAAGGGGTGGAGGCGTCCTTAAGGTCCTCCTTGTCAGTGATGCTGTCTTCATTCTGGTCTGTGAGCATGAAGGCCTGGGTCACTGTGCAGCACCCCCAGGCTCACATGGGGGGAGCTCACCTCTCCACACTCCTGGATCTGGGTCTGCCCTCCCTTCTTCCCAGTCTCGCTGCTGGCCTGAGGCAAGAGTCCAGGAGACTTCACTGTCATGGCCTATGGGGCTGGAAGGGCCCCAGGCCTGCGTCCTGGGGAGGGGCAGCTGGAGCTGGGGCCAGGGAGCAGGATGGCTATGGCAGCCTCCCAGGCCCTGGGGCAAACAGGCCCTGTGGGTGGCCAGTCCTGGGCACCAGGACTTCCTGAGGGCCCAGCCCCTGCCTCATGCTGCCCTGGTTGCCATGCTAACACCCACACACTCGTGGACACGTTCAAATTGCACATACGTGCACACCCACAGTTCACACGCCTCTTCAGCTCACCATGCTGGGCTCTGGCCATCACCAGTCAGTCCCTCCTGCTCAGGCCCCAGGTCTCACTTTTTTTTTTTTTTTAGATGTATTAATTTATTTGAAAGGCACGCGCGCGCGCGCACACACACACACACGGGGGTGGGGGGGAGTCTTCCACCTGCTGGTTCACTCCCCTAATGGCCGCAAAGGCCAGAACTAGGCCGATCCGAAGCCAGGAGCTTCTTGTGGGTCTCCCACAAGTGGCTTTACCCACTGTGCCACAGCTCCTGCCTGGTCCCCCAGGACACCTCGGGTTTTGGCTGCCACTCCTTACAAGGACAGGGTTGGGGCCACCCCAGAGAGTGGACAACTGGACAGTGAGCATGGACTGCCCCTTCGCCCAGGCAAGGCCCTGTGAGTCTTCCCCAGGGCCTGGGAGGGCTGCATGCCCGCCTGGGACGGAGGAGCCCTTCCCAGAGCTGTGCAGAGCGGCGGCAGCAGGGTCACAAGGCATCCACAGAGCTGGTTCTGGAGCTCAGGCCACCGTCCTCCCCCCTGCCTTGGGGCCACCCATCCTGGCCTGGGGCGGGCAACTCCTTGCCCAGCTCACAGGGGTCGGATTTCTGGGGTGGAAGAGACCTGGAGATGATCAGGCTGATTGGAAGGCCTGAACTGTGACATCTGGCTGCTGGTGCCAGACGTGGGATGCCTTGGCCCAGGGAACAGGACCCAGGTGGCCACAGCCTGGAGGGAGGGGAACCAGGTTAGCCACAGCCTGGAGGGAGCAGGGATGGGGGTGCAGGGAGGGGCCCAGGGCAGCCACAGCCTGGAGGGAGCGGGAATGGGGGTGCAGGGAGGGGCCCAGGGCAGCCACAGCCTGGAGGGAGTGGGGATGGGGGTGCAGGGAAGGGACCCAGGGCAGCCACAGCCTGGAGGGAGTGGGGATGGGGGTGCAGGGAAGGGACCCAGCACAGCCTGGAGGGAGCAGGGATGGGGGTGCAGGGAAGGGACCCAGCACAGCCTGGAGGGAGCAGGGATGGGGGTGCAGGGAGGGGCCCAGGGCAGCCACAGCCTGGAGGGAGCGGGGATGGGGGTGCAGGGAGGGGAACCAGGGTAGCCATAGCCTGGAGGGTGCAGGGAGGGGCCCAGGGCAGCCACAGCCTGGAGGGAGCAGGGAGGGGCCCAGGGCAGCCACAGCCTGGAGGGAGCAGGACCCAAGCCAGTCACAGCTTGGGCTACAGGGAGCAGGGGGTGTGGCTGTGATACCTGGGCAGGGCTCCCCTGAACCACACCTGCCCAAGCTGGCATGGAGACAGGTACCTCCCCAGGTGCTGTAGCCCACAAGCCCCAGGCCCAGTGGGGGCTCCTGAGGCCCCTGAGGGGTCAGCCAGTGACCAGGTGTGGCTGCTGGGGTGCAGAGGGTAAGTTAGCTGCCATGAGCCTGGGGCAGGCTGAGGCAGCCCTTGCTGCCTGTCTGCTGGCCCTGCAGTTCGCTGTCCACTGGCAAACGTGTCCTTCCCACTCTGTGGGTGTGTGCGTGCCGGGAAGGGGTGCAGGGTGGTGTGTCCGGTGGCGCATCCGGCCTGCTTCTTGTCCCGGACCAGGACCCCAACTGGCAGGTGCTGAGGGTGTTGTAGGCAGGCGTACAGGATTAACCTGATTAGCTTTGTGAGCTAGAAGACCACGTCTTCACCAGCCCCTACCTGACCACACCTGTATGCCCACCTGCCAATCAGGGTAATTAACCACGCCCCTTTGGCAGTGGATTAAAGGGCTGAAACAGTGGCCCGGCCCTTTTTTGCCACTAGAGCTCTTTGTTGCCCCCCACCCCACTTTGGGGCGCGTGGCCTTTGGGCCGTCCACGCTGCTGCCCGTGGTAAGCTGTTAACAGCTGCACAAAACGCGTGCTGCACGTGGCTTTCGGCCTGCGGTCTGCCTGGTAGGGATTCCCACTTAACTTCCAGACTTCCCCTCACTCTCCTGTGCGTGTCTCTCCCTGAATAAAAAGCTCAAAAACTCACCATGCTGCCCGGTCTGTTTGTGCCAGTGTTCAGATTTCTTCTCTGAATACGAGGCAAGAGCCCACACAGCTTTTTTTTTTTTTTTTTTTTTTTTTTGACAGAGTGGACAGAGACACACAGAGAAAAGTCTTCCTTTTGACGTTGGTTCACCCTCCAATGGCCGCCACAGCTGGTGCACCGCGCTGATCTGATGGCAGGAGCCAGGTGCTTCTCCTGGTCTCCCATGGGGTGCAGGGCCCAAGCACTTGGGCCATCCTCCACTGCCCTCCCGGGCCACAGCAGAGAGCTGGCCTGGAAGAGAGGCAACCGGGACAGAATCCGGTGCCCCGACCGGGACTAGAACCTTGTGCCGGCGCCGCAGGTGGAGGATTAGCCTAGTGAGCCGCGGCGCTGGCCCCCACACAGCTTTTTAATTTCGAATTAGAGTCAGCAGCAGCCGTAACAAGGGCAGCCCTGGACGGGCATCCGCGCGGCTTGTGGTCACTCAGGGGAGAGGGGCTGGCGACCCCCGCCTCCCCATGAGCCCGAGAGGGTGGGAGCCCACCCGGCCATTCCCACAGGTGCGGCGGGCTCCCGCAGGCCCTGGCATCCTGAGCCCCCGACCTTGGGTCCTCCTGTGCCCCCCCCCCCGCGCCCCACACTAATTTCTGACTCAAACCCGGCTCCTCTCCAGCCGAGGCTGCTTCTAAGGTGCAGGCAAACGGACACAGCTGAGCTGTCTGTGGGGGTGGGGGTCGGCCTGTGTCCACAGAGCGGGGTCAGGCTGAGGGCGGGGGGCGACCAGGAGGGCTTGGGGCCAGGCTCGGGGCGGGGGCCGCGGCTGGCCGCCGCGGACGGCGGGGCACCCGCGGCGCTCCGGGGCTGATTCGTATTCACCAGGTCCCGTGGACGGGCCGGGCAGCGCGGGGCCCCGCCGCGGGTGCGGGGACGACCGCGGGTGGCACAGACGGGCGGCTTCCCCGGGGAGACCGTAGTCCCCTCGCCCGGCCGGGCGCACACACGGCGGGTGGGCCTCCCGCCCGGACCCCGGGACCCCCCAGCAGACCGTGGGGCGTCTTCGCCGCTCGTGCCGTGACTCGCACGCAGCGGGTACGCGGACAGGTGCAGCCCGGGTTGCCACTCCACACGCCCACACCTGGGCCTGGCCGCCGCGCGTGCGTAATCGAAGCCCTTCTGCGCATGCACCGCACCCCTGACGTCATCCCTGGGGTGGCCGCCCCCTCCCCCGTCTTCCACTGTGGCGCATGCGCCTGTCCACCCACAGCCCTCCGCGTGACTTCCGTCGAGGGGCTGTGCTTCCGGTGCGAGGTCACGGACAAGATGGTGCCGCCGGTGCAGGTCTCTCCGCTCATCAAGGTGAACCGAGCTTTGCGGCCGCCGCCTGCGGACCCCGATCCTGCGGGCTGCGACTCCCGCACTCCGTGATCCCCGACCCCATGCCCTTGCCCGGTCCCCTGGCCTCAGGACCCTGGACCCCCCGACCCCGTGCCCTCCGCACCCCCGGGGTCCCATCGCACCCATCGTGTCCCCCGCGCTCCCCGTGTCTCTTCGCGTCCCCGGCCCCGTGCCCTCCGCGCCCCCCGTGTCCCCGCGCCCCACCCCCGGCCCCGCGGTGCGAGTCCTCCCGACGCCCTCTCCCGCAGCTCGGCCGCTACTCCGCGCTGTTTCTCGGCGTGGCCTACGGAGCCAAGCGACACAGTGAGTGACCGGCGGCGGGAGGGCGGGCGCGGGCCCCTGGCGCCCCCTCTGCGGCCTCACCGGAGCCCCCGCCGTCCCTCCAGGTTACCTGAAGCCCCGCGCAGAGGAGGAGAGGCGGCTGGCGGCGGCGGAGAAGCAGAAGCAGGATGAGCTGAAGCGCATCGCGAGGGAGCGGGCGGAAGGTACCGCGCCGCGCGGTCCCGGGGTGGGGGCGCGGGGCGGCTGGCCCTCGGCTGGGGGTGGGAAGCGCTCCCGAGGGCGCCCTAACTGCGGCCTTCCTCCCGCAGCCGAGGACGACAGCATCCTCAAGTGAGCGTCTCCTGGAGCCGAGCTGCGTTGCGGGAATAAAGCGAATGTGCGGTGCGAGCCTGGCTCCCTCCTTCCTGCGCGGCCTGGGGCGGGCGGGGAGCGGCCTCCAGTCTCCCGCGTGGCGCCGTCCCGGGGCCCTCCCGCACCCGGTACCGCGCGCGGAGACAGCAGCTCGGTTTCTCTGACTTTATTCTGGATCTGCTTGGTCTACGCCCAGAGAGGCGGCCTCCGTGCGCCGGCCTCCTGCGCGCACTCGGACAGGTGCAGGCCCTTCCGGGCCTCCCGCGGCTGCGTCCACTTTACAAGTCACATCTGGCTTAGGTTTGTGAAAACACAAATCTTGGAGCAGTTCAACGCTGCTTCCTCTGGCGTCCTAACCTGACACCAGACGGCCAGACACGGAGCTGGGGGCTCTGCAGGTCCCAGGCCAGGTCCCGGGCGCGGCTCAGAGGATGCAGCAGGTGGAAGACTTGGGGGCCGGGCCCCCGTTGCAGATCTCTGTGCCACCTGCAAGAGGAGGGGAGGCCGTGAGCGGGGGCCACGCAGGCCACTGCCCCCACTTCCCTACTGCTGGAGTGACCTCTGCGGTCTCTGCAGGAGAGAGGGCGGAGCATGGCGGCTGGCCGGAGCCGATGAGCCGATTAGCCGGGGCTGGGCCTGCCTTAGTCTTGGCCCTGTTGTCTAGGGGAGTCGCCCCCCTGGCCAGGGCTCCCGTGCCCCTCGGGTTTGCGGCTTGGGTTCTGGGAGGCGCAGGGCTTTTCCTCAGTGTTGGTGAGAACTGATGGCCAGGAGTAGTGCAAGTGCTGGTTGGGCTGTGTCCACTCCCTGGGGCTGCGTCCTCCCTGAGTCCCTGCAAGGACTGGCAGTGCCCATGAGGGCTGCTCTGCCCTGCGGGGCCGGCCTTCCATACGTCCTCTGCGGGGCTCACTGGAGCCCCTTGGAGGGTCCCCACATCCACCCAGGGCCTCAGGGAGCCCGGACCTTTCTTGGGGGCCACCCGGTCCTCCTCCTTCTTCTTCTCCTCCTCCAGGGCCTTCACTTTGGCCTCGTACTCGTCCGCCAGCGCCTTCCACTCCTTCCTGTTGTTCTGCAGTCGGTCAAACATAGGCAGGATCTCCTCGTGGAACCGCGAGAACTCCTGGAGGGGGTGGAGCGATCACCAGGAGGCCACAGCCTTCCCAGCCCAAACCCTTGCAGGCCTGTCCGGCCTGGCCCACTGCCGGGCCTCCCTCTGGACAGAGCTGTCGGCGAGGGAGGGGCAGTGAGCGGGACGGTCGGTTTGTGTGAGAGGAAGCTCTGCGGGACACGGTTACTGCAGGCAGGGCTGGGCAGGACGCCCAGCGTCCCCTGACAGGAGATGGCATGTGGCGGAGGAGCCCACCCCACATGCCACACCTGCACGCATCACATGTGCACACACACCCACATCACACGTACGTGACTCAGCACTGCACGTGTACACGCATCACATGAGCATGTGATCTGCACATACCAGCTGTGCAGGTGGCTGCCTGTACTCGCACAAACCACGACTACACTTTACATGTATGCACACATGCGTGTATGCATCACAGGTACGGGCTTCATGGCTGCATACGTCACATCACATGTGAACGTGTGTTGAGGAGGATGGAGTACGAACCTAGCAGGCTTTGGCCCCCCTCAGCCCTGCTTCAGATGTGGGTGGAGCCCACCTCAGTCCCCCCTAGATCCTACTTCAGATGTGGGTGGAGCCCACCTCTGTGCCCCCCTCAGCCCTGCTTCAGATGTGGGTGGAGCCCACCTCTGTGCCCCCCTCAGTCCTACTTCAGATGTGGGTGGAGCCCACCTCTGTCCCCCCTCAGCCCTGTCGCTCCCCCTCTTCGTGGAGGAACGACACAGGACCCTGCGCTGTTCTTTCGTCTGCTCGGCCCTCCCCGGGTTTGCTGCTGGTCCTTCCCGGGTTGGCTACTATCCCTTCCACCTCCGTGGAAGGGCGGTTCCCCCTGGCCACATTCCCCACTTCTGCAGGGGAGCGGCACACCGCCGGCCGGCTCTCTGGGGGGCTGCACAGGTGTTCCCTCAGATGTTCCCCTTAGATGTTCCTGGTGCATGCCGTCTCTCTCCTCCTTTATAGTCCTCCTCCGCCAATCCTAACTCGGCTGCCCACACGCCGAGTACGCTGCTCTCCTCCAATCAGTAGCAAGTCCTACAGTTTATTGGTTGAACTGGAGGCAGCTGTGCAGAAGCTGTTTACTTCTCTCCCAGCGCCATATTGTGGGAGAGCAGATGCATAGAATAAGTCTTAATTCCAGTAACTCAGTCCAGTCCGGATTGCTCCCCACAGATCCCCCTTTCTTTTTATTTTTGGCGTTGATACGCGCCTGTCTTCGGTGTCCCGCGGCACACACTCTGCTCTACTTGCTAGAGTTGCTACAGGTTCTTACAAGTCCTATCAATCAGGCAAACCGAATCCGGGCCCTCTCTTCGCCATGTTGTGAGGAGGTTTTTAGGCGCTGATGCGTGCCTGTGTTCGGTGACCTGCGGCTCACACTCTGGTCGAGCCGCCTGCTGGCGCTTACCGCCTTAATCAGGCAGACCGAATCCAAGCCTCCTAATTGTTGTATTGTGGGGAGGCCTTACTGATGTTAATTCGTGCCTGTCTTCGGTGACCTGCGGCGCATAAGCTGCTAGCCGCCGCAGGTGCTCATCGCCTCACTTAATCAGGCAGACCGAATCCAAGCTTTCTCATTGCCATGTTGAGGGGAGGCCTTTCTATTTCTCTCTTTCTCTATCTCCGGGCATTCCTATTTCTCCCATTTTACTTCTATCTTCCAGCATTCCTATTTCTCTCATTTTACTTTTAAACTTCTGTTTCTCTTATCCCCGCGGCTTCCCGGCTGCGCCCGCCCCGAGGCTGCTTCTCGGCAGCTTTCCGGCTCTGAGCCGCTTCAGCCCGCGCCTCTCTCATCTGCGCGGCTCGGCTTTGTGCGCACACTCCGCGGTCTCTGCGCTAGCCCCGCGTTCCCTATGTACTTGAGCCCCGCACGCTCTGTCTGCGCGCGGCAGCCTCCACGAGTCACACAGCGTAGCTTACGTGTCCGCCACTAGCATTCAATCTAAGTTCCCCGGGCTAGCCTGGCGAATTCAACCCAGCTCACGTTTCCGCCCCACGATCTGGCTTCCCGTCCTTTGCTCCCCGGGCTAATCAGACGGATCCCAACCTGGCTTACATTTCCGCTTCTGGTTTTAACTTTTCGCCCCCTATTCCCGGGCTAACTTGAGAATCCCAAAGTGGCTTTCGTCTCCGCCTTGGCCTGCCCCCCGCGGCTTCAATTTCCCTAACATTTTTCTCTACCCGGTATGTTTCCCCAAGCTTTCCTCCAACAATATTCCTCCCTCATTTCTCCTGGCCTCTCCCCACAGTCCGTATCCGAGTCTGTTTGTTCTAGCTTTCACTTTCGCTTTCGACCTTAGAGATTTCTCCCAGCTTCCCCCTGTAGTCCGTATCTGAATCTATGCCTAGGCTTTCAACAGCTTCCTCCGGCACCTCTTTCGTCCGGCTTTTCCCTAGGCTGTTCTCTCTCCGATATTTTCCCTAGACTGTTTGCTAGTCTCTCTCTCCGATATTTTCCCAGTTCTTCCCGTTTCTTCCCTCCTAAGTTTCCTATCCGTCCTAGGTTTCCTATCCGAGTCACGGCACCATTATGTCGCTCCCCCTCTTCGTGGAGGAACGACACAGGACCCTGCGCTGTTCTTTGGTCTGCTTGGCCCTCCCCGGGTTTGCTGCTGGTTCTTCCCGGGTTGGCTACTATCCCTTCCACCTCCGTGGAAGGGCGGTTCCCCCTGGCCACATTCCCCACTTCTGCAGGGGAGCGGCACACCGCCGGCCGGCTTTCTGGGGGGCTGCACAGGTGTTCCCTCAGATGTTCCCCTTAGATGTTCCTGGTGCATGCCGTCTCTCTCCTCCTTTATAGTCCTCCTCCGCCAATCCTAACTCGGCTGCCCACACGCCGAGTATGCTGCTCTCCTCCAATCAGTAGCAAGTCCTACAGTTTATTGGTTGAACTGGAGGCAGCTGTGCAGAAGCTGTTTACTTCTCTCCCAGCGCCATATTGTGGGAGAGCAGATGCATAGAATAAGTCTTAATTCCAGTAACTCAGTCCAGTCCGGATTGCTCCCCACAAGCCCTGCTTCAGATGTGGGTGGAGCCCACCTCTGTGCCCCCCTCAGCCCTGCTTCAGATGTGGGTGGAGCCCACCTCTGTGCCCCCCTCAGTCCTACTTCAGATGTGGGTGGAGCCCACCTCTGGGCCCCCCTCAGCCCTGCTTCAGATGTGGGTAGAGCCCACCTCTGTGCCCCCCTCAGCCCTGCTTCAGATGTGGGTGGAGCCCACCTCTGCCCCCCTCAGCCCTGCTTCAGATGTGGGTGGAGCCCACCTCTGTGCCCCCCTGCCCTGAGGACCCCACAGCCCCTCCCTGCCCCAGCCAGCTCTGCGTACCTTGTATACAAACGTGCACACAAAGTCGATGAAGCCGACTTGCAGCTTGGGGAGCTCGGCCGCCTTGTTCCGGTCCATCATGGGCTTTTGAGGGGAAGCAGAGGCAGGTGACCAGACAGCCACGTCCTTGGGTCCTGGGGGACCTTGCTTGGCCCCTGACTACAGCTCTGATGATCACGGAGGCACATGACCAGAGCCCAAGGGTGAAGCTGGAACCTCGCCTAGGGGACCCCGCCTGCCCAACAGGCACTGGTCCTCAGATGCCAAGAGCCAGGACACCGCCTCCCTGTGGTCAGCTGTCCAAGGGGGGCTCCGTCCCAGGTGCCCTGAGCCCCGGGGCACTGTGCTCAGCTCTAGGTGGGGGCACGGTCACCCGGCTGGCCAGGCCCTCGCCTGCACAAGCCCACAGAGCTGAGGAGCTGTCTTTGCTGCGGATGAACGGTGCCCTGGTGCCAGGGATGTGTATATGAGGGCTCCAGGGGCCAGAGATGGGGTGAGCTGGGCTGCCTACCCCTCCACCCCAGCTGGTCACGCCCCCTTCGCTGCCCAGCCTGCATCTGGCCTCTGGCCCTCGACATTGCCCTTGGGAGGCAAAGCCCTTTCCTTTGGCACATGTGGGGCTGGGTCAGGCTGTGCTGCCTTGTGCCCGGCCCAGAGCCGGGTGCCAGGCCCTCTGCTGGCCTGTGCGGCTCTGGCGTGGAGCTGCAGTCCCTGCTCCCCCACTTTCCACAACTCGCATCTCCCACGTCATTCATCACCCAGCCCTGCATTGCCCACAGCTTCGCCCAGAAGTGAGGTTTGGACCCAAGGCCGGGGAGCCAGGGTCAGAGGCTCCGAGGGACCCGGTGGAGGCCGAGTGCCCGGCCGGGGCAGAAGCTGCAGCACTCACAATGGGCTGCTGGTCCAGGACGGTCCTTTCCAAGTCTCCTTGTTCCCAGAACTCAGCAGCGACCAGAAGAGCCACCTGGGGACAGATGGGGGACAGCCAAGCCCTCCGCACCGGCCCTGCCCTGCCCAACCCCTCCAGGTCGGGCTGGGGTGGGGGGCACCCGCAACACCACCGCCCTGCCGCCCACGTGGGGTCCTGACCTTGCTCTGGACTTCCCAGGGCTTGGTGATGGCGGACAGGTCACAGGCCGTCATCATCATGGCCCTGCGAGCACAGCAGAGCCCACACTCAGCGAGGCGGCGGCAGGGAAGTCAGACGCGTGACGGCAGGCGGCTGCTCCCGGGACACCGCGGGGGACCCCCTCCCGGCTGCTCCTGCCCCCCCGGACGCTGCGGGGGACCCCTCCCGGCTGCTCCTGCCCCCCCGGACACCGCGGGGGACCCCCTCCCGGCGGCTCCTGGCCCCCCCGGACGCCGCGGGGGACCCCTCCCGGCTGCTCCTGGCTCCCCGGACGCCGCGGGGGACCCCCTCCCGGCGGCTCCTGCCCCCCCGGACACCGCGGGGGACCCCTCCCGGCGGCTCCTGGCCCCCCCGGACACCGCGGGGGACACCTCCCGGCTGCTCCTGCCCCCCGGACGCCGCGGGGGACCCCCTCCCGGCGGCTCCTGCCCCCCGGATGCCGCGGGGGACCCCCTCCCGGCGGCTCCCAGTCCCCGGACACCGCGGCGGACCCCCTCCCGGCGGCTCCTGCCCCCCGGATGCCGCGGGGGACCCCTCCCGGCGGCTCCCAGTCCCCGGACACCGCGGCGGACCCATGTGGCTCACATGACGATCTCCTTCCGCGTGGTCTCCAGCGACAGGTACTCCACCCAGCTCTTCTTGTCCTCGTAGTTCTTAGACTCGTCCACGATCTTCTGGAACATTGTCCTCTTCCTGGGCCCGCAGCCGGGGCGGGGAGAGGGGAGGGGGCGGAGAGGCGGGGAGCCGAGGCTGGAGTCACCCCGGGGGTCCCGCCCCGCCCCCCGCAGGGACCCCAGAGCCTCCAAAGCCCGGGGCATCACCCCCACCCGCCACTAGCGTGACCCCTCCCCCAGCACGGCCCCGCCCCTGCAGGGAGGGGCGCGCACTTGAAGTAGAGCGCCAGGTCGGTGGCGATGATGGCGATGTCCATGAGGTGGATCACGTGCTCGTGCTGCCGCCGGTTCAGGTTCTGGTAGATGTTGAGGCTCTACGAGAGGCTGGCGTCAGCCGGGGCAGCCGGCGCCCCCACTGTCCCCGTGACCGGTCCTGGCGCTTGGGCGGACCCCGATCTGCCCCCGGGTTCTGTCCCCACACGTGCTGCAGGACCCTGGGTCGGGCCTGCACCCTGCGTGGCCTCTTCACCACAGCAGCCACCGGGTGCCCTCTGCTGCCTCTGGGTCCTGACCTGGTGACTGCCCTGCCAGGGGCAGGGCCGAGGAGGGCCGGCTCTATAGGACACCCGCTGCCCACCCTGCACCGGTGGTCTCAGGCCACTGCCTCCCCACGAGGGGCACAGCTAGCCGCTGGCCTCATCCTCACACGGAGCCCTGGGGTCTCCCTTGGCCAGGGCCATGCAGACCCTGATGGCCGGAAGTGAAGACACAGACCTCCTCGGACAGAAGGAACTTCCCAAACTCCAGGTGGTGCCGTTCCAGGATCGAGGAGCCGTGGAGCTTGGCCAAGGGGTTCTGGGACCTGCCACACGTGCCATGGAAAACGAGCTTGGAGGAGCGGCCGGGACTGCCGGCTCCAGCCCTCCCTGGGTGCTGTATGGCCATCGGCAGCAAGTCAGGTCCCCCTCAGGGTGTGGTGACTCCCAGCCCACCCAGCCAGGGGCCTACTTCATCTGGTACAGGTTGTTGGTGCCGCGGTGGTCGATGTCATGGCACAGGCCGGCTGTCACCATGGCGAAGGCCTCCAGGTCAGTGTAGTAGCTCTTTAGCTTGCCCGTCTGAGGGGTGGGGGCAGCACACGGGGACGTGAGGAGGGGGAGCTGGGCCCCTGCCTGTCCACCACAGTGTGGGTGGGGATGAACCGGACAGAGGCCCCTGCCTCCACCCCCCACCAAAGGCCCGAGTGAGACTGGGGCCCCCGTCTGCCCGTGGAGGTCCCTGTGCTGCACCTGCCCCCCCCCCCACTGCAGGTCTGGGTCTGACTCGGGGTCCCCATCTGCTTGCCCGCATACCCACCATGAGCAGCGTGAACATGGTCTGGGCCACGTTGAAGCCGTGGCGCCAGTTGTGGTAGGTGATCCTGCGATAGGCTTTGCTGACGGAGAACAGGAACCGCACCAGGACCTGGGGGAGCACACAGGCTCTGGGCCCAGCCCCACCCTGTCACCAGCCCTAGGGGAGCGGGTCGTGGAGGGGTGCAAGAGGCCTGGGCCGGGCAGGAGCCAAGAGCAGCCCCACTGGGACAGGATAGCCGTCCTGGGCAAGGCTGGGAGACAGGTGTGGGCAGCGGGGGCCTCAGCTATGTCCAGTGCAACATTCAGGGTCAGAAAACAGACTTTTCTCTCATTCTGCTAACTTGTGCATGTGTACTGTTTCCTCTTTGTGTTTAGCAAAATGTCCTTCACTGTGTGGTGTCCTCTCTGAGCTCGGAGCTGTGGGAGCAGGCGGAGAAAACCTGGGCAGGGGCTGGGGGGCAGAGCAAGGAAGCCCACCTGCCAGGCCTGGGGCTCTACTGCCACCTGGAGTCCGCCTCACAGGGACCTCCTGACGGGCCCCTCGGAAAATTTCCACTTCCTGCTACCCCGTCTTCCCTCCTCTACCCACCTGGCGTTCACTCCAGACAGACTTGCTGTGTTTGCCCCAAAACCTTCTTGTGGAACCTGGAGCCTCCAGCCATGTCCCCTTCACCTCCTGGGGTGCTGAGACACCCCCTCCCCAGCCACGCCCCTCCCACCTCTGGGAGTTGGGACCCTGACCATGCCCCTCCCACCTCCTGGGGCTCTGAGACACGCACCCAACCATGCCCTTCACACCTCCTGGGGCTCTGAGACACCCCTCAACCATGCCCCTCCCACCTCCTGGGGCTCTGAGACACCCCCCCAACCACGCCCCTCCCACCTCCTAGGGGATCTGGAACTTGCGGACCACGCCCCTCCCACCTCTGGGGGTCGGGACCCTGACGCCTCCACTTCTACCTCCTGGAGGCTGGGAACCTGACCACGCCCCTCACACCTCCTGGGGCTCTGAGACACCCCCCAACCATGCCCCTCCCACCTCCTGGGGCTCTGAGACACCCCCCAACCATGCCCCTCCCACCTCCTGGGGCTCTGAGACACCCCCCAACCATGCCCCTCCCACCTCCTGGGGCTCTGAGACACCCCCCCAACCATGCCCCTCCCACCTCCTAGGGGATCTGGAACTTGTGGACCACGCCCCTCCCACCTCTGGGGGTCGGGACTCTGACCCCTCCCCTTTACCTCCTGGAAGCTGGGAACCTGACCACGCCCCTCCCACCTCTGGGGGTCGGGACTCTGGCCCCTCCCCTTTACCTCCTGGAGGCTGGGACCTGACCACGCCCCTCCCACCTCTGGGGGTCGGGACTCTGGCCCCTCCCCTTTACCTCCTGGAGGCTGGGACCTGACCACGCCCCTCCCACCTCTGGGGGTCGGGACTCTGGCCCCTCCCCTTTACCTCCTGGAGGCTGGGACCTGACCACGCCCCTCCCACCTCTGGGGGTCGGGACTCCGGCCCCTCCCCTTTACCTCCTGGAGGCTGGGACCTGACCACGCCCCTCCCACCTCTGGGGGTCGGGACTCTGGCCCCTCCCCTTTACCTCCTGGGGGATCTGGAACTTGCGGACCACGCCCCTCCCACCTCTGGGGGTCTGGACCCTGACGCCTCCCCTTCTACCTCCTGGAGGCTGGGACCTGACCACGCCCCTCCCACCTCTGGGGGTCGGGACTCTGGCCCCTCCCCTTCTACCTCCTGGAGGCTGGGACCTGACCACGCCCCTCCCACCTCTGGGGGTCGGGACCCTGACGCCTCCACTTCTACCTCCTGGAGGCTGGGACCTGACCACGCCCCTCCCACCTCTGGGGGTCGGGACTCTGGCCCCTCCCCTTTACCTCCTGGAGGCTGGGACCTGACCACGCCCCTCCCACCTCTGGGGATCGGGACTCTGGCCCCTCCCTTTACCTCCTGGAGGCTGGGACCTGACCACGCCCCTCCCACCTCTGGGGGGTCTGGACCCTGACGCCTCCCCTTCTACCTCCTGGAGGCTGGGACCTGACCACGCCCCTCCCACCTCTGGGGGGCGGGACTCGGCCCCTCCCCTTTACCTCCTGGAGGCTGGGACCTGACCACGCCCCTCCCACCTCTGGGGGTCGGGACTCTGGCCCCTCCCCTTTACCTCCTGGAGGCTGGGACCTGACCACGCCCCTCCCACCTCTGGGGGTCGGGACTCTGGCCCCTCCCCTTTACCTCCTGGAGGCTGGGACCTGACCACGCCCCTCCCACCTCTGGGGGCCGGGACTCTGGCCCCGCCCCTTTACCTCCTGGAGGCTGGGACCTGACCACGCCCTCCCACCTCTGGGGGTCGGGACTCTGGCCCCGCCCCTTTACCTCCTGGAGGCTGGGACCTGACCACGCCCCTCCCACCTCTGGGGGTCGGGACTCTGGCCCCTCCCCTTTACCTCCTGGAGGCTGGGACCTGACCACGCCCCTCCCACCTCTGGGGGCCGGGACTCTGGCCCCGCCCCTTTACCTCCTGGAGGCTGGGACCTGACCACGCCCCTCCCACCTCTGGGGGCCGGGACTCTGGCCCCGCCCCTTTACCTCCTGGGGGATCTGGAACTTGCGGACCACGCCCCTCCCACCTCTGGGGGCCGGGACTCTGGCCCCGCCCCTTTACCTCCTGGAGGCTGGGACCTGACCACGCCCCTCCCACCTCTGGGGGCCGGGACTCTGGCCCCGCCCCTTTACCTCCTGGAGGCTGGGACCTGACCACGCCCCTCCCACCTCTGGGGGTCGGGACTCTGGCCCCGCCCCTTTACCTCCTGGAGGCTGGGACCTGACCACGCCCCTCCCACCTCTGGGGGCCGGGACTCTGGCCCCGCCCCTTTACCTCCTGGGGGATCTGGAACTTGCGGACCACGCCCAGCTCATAGTACATCTGGATGCCACATTTGACCAGCTCCAGCTCGGTGCACTCCAGGTCGGAGAAGTGGAACTCGTAGATGTCGAACTTGCTGGGTCCTGGCAGCTCTTCCTTCTGTGAGGAGGATCGTGGGCTGAGGGCAGGTGCCCCGCAGCTCCACTTGTCACGTGTCTCTTCCCTGAGCCTGCTGTCCAGCCCGGACACTGTGGCTGCCTCTAGAGATTCCTGCCCTGCTGGCCACTCCAGTCCACAGCCCAGCACACGCGTCCTCTGCTGGCCCGGCTCGTCCCCTCCTCCCTTCCCACTGTGTCCTCACCAAAACGTCAGGGAACTTGGCACAAATCTATGCACAGGACGGTGCACAGGTACACGTGGACTCAGGCACACATGTGAACAAGTACACATGGGCAAGGCACACATGGCTCAGGCACACGTGTGCACACGCAGGCACAGAAGTGCAGTCTCACACCCCAAATGTGTGCAAATGATCACAGAGTAGCAGCTCCCTGTCCGAGCCCCGGGGGTGGCTCTGGCTAAATCACACGGCAGACACAGTGGTGATATTGCATGGGTGACACACGTGTGTATGCGACACATGCAAACAGACACATATGTACTGGGTGTCATGAGTCCTGGCCTCTCCCATAGTGAGGATAACAGGACAAACAGAGATGACGACACGGATGGTTCTGGAAGAGCACATGTCACTTCCACTCTAGCTGGACAACTCACACACTGGCCAGACTCAAAGCCCAAGTTACGTAGACACAGCAGGCCGACGAGGGTGGACACAGCACATGGCCAGCAGGCGGCAGGGGGCAGCACAGGACTCTCCCCCCCTCCACCACCAGGAGGCTAGTTTGCAGCCCAGGGACAGGAAGGGGGACTCACCAGGATGAGGCCCAGTTCATCCTCCTCACAGTCTGCGGGCTCCTTCCCCAGACGGTCTCTGGTTGGCTGGAAGGGAGCAGCATACAGCATACATGTGTAAGGCCAAGGGACTGTGCCCCCACCCTCAGGGTGACACGGAGGAGCCACGTCCCCTACCCTCAGGGTGACACAGAGGAGCCACGTCCCCTGCACACGCACAGTGACACGGAGGAGCCACGTCCCCTGCACACGCACAGTGACACGGAGGAGCCACGTCCCCTGCACCCTCCTGTGGTGACACGGAGGAGCCACGTCCCCCGCACCC